CTTAACGCGATCTTGCGGTCATATTTATAAACTATATAATATTATTATTATTATTTATAATGCTTATTTTCTTCACGGAATGTGCACCACGATTTTTTTATTCTTTCTAAAACCGTGCGGCGAATAGTTATTACGATTTTACGAACTTGACTATCTTTGTCATTTTTGACAATAGCATTTATCTTTATTTTTATTATCTATGTTCAGTATTATTATTATCAGTGTACCGCAAAGTATTGAATATATTTTCCATGGGCTCTTCGACTTTTCCAAGATTATAGTGAACCAGACATCACCAGACGTGACCAATTTCTCCTTCCCAGTCCCGTTATACCATATTGTTCTATGGTTATATCTATTATCTCCAAACTTGTTATTATTATTATTTTTTAGAAAGTCGAAAAAAGTTTTTGTTTTTCTTCTCAGTTCTTGTTTATCTCACTTAGAGTAGATGAGTTATTAGATGCAGTTATAATTTGTGTAAATACTTTTTAATGTAGACAAAGTTTCTCACACTATAATAAACACGCATACTTAATAATAAATAATATTCAAATTGTATATTATTTAGCTTTTTATTATGAAAGGTATTATTCTTATTATCTACGACTTATCGGAGTGCTTGTTTTTACGTTTCAAATATTACGCTAAAAAGTGAATTTACATTTAATTCATAGCTGGTAACCGATCGAATCGAAATTGCTCATTTATATGTTCCAGTATCTTATATTTATTTCCTATTTTATTGTACAGAATTATGATATTGTTAACTATTATTAATTCGGCACTCGTCTTATGATTATAAAAATCGTGTTGATCGTGGGCAGCATCTGTTATTACGCCTCTGGCGGAACACACGTATTTCGATACGCCGTATGCAATCTGTGTCAATGAATGCGGGTAAGTGTTTTTACTTTCATTTAGATGGTATTAAGTTGTAAACATTAAATTGTATTGGATATCTAATAAATATAATGGTTTTCTGGCTTTAAATGTTTTTGTACAATCCTTACATCATTGAGTTATTTATTTAATTATTGGTATTTTTTTTCATACTAGGTAGATACTTAGGTACTTAGACACAATTAAGTTTACAAATAAATTTTTCACTGTCAATATGTGTTATCCAACTATTAATTTAATGTTTAAAAAAATGTAAATAAGTGMAATTTTTTGATCATTTAATAAATATTTTAAATGTCAATGGGACCAACTCACTGTAAATTTTATGTAGCATATGCTTCTAGTTAGAGGCAATGTATGTGTCATGAATCACTATGAAGTTTTTAATTATTTAAATTAATTCTCTATAAAAGCCAACCTTGAAGGCTTAACAAAATTTTTGAGCACCCGWCTATGGTTTTTGATTTATTTATTGAT